TCCTCTCGCTTACACCAAACCCTATTGTCTGTTTTGCACGCCATTATTCACAAGTTACCCCAAAATTTGGAGTAGCAAGAAAAAAGGTAAAGAGAAAGCTGAAATGAAAAGAGCCAGTAGGAGTAGAAACCCAGTAATTAATGAAATAGAAAAATGTAACTCAAGAATATCACTATTCTCAGGCCAACATGGGGGTTTTCTTCTTCTTTATGGGGTCTCCTCATAAGGCATGTAAGTCCTACTTTCGCTTCCTCTTTGTTATCATTTAATTCTCTATCCGCTTTGGCCTAATTCAGAGATGTATAATATTTTCCATACGAGGCTGGTCTTTCTAACGGCGTTTTTATATTTTATTTTAATATTTCCTGCTTCTATATTTGTATCTCAAAAAATAGATAAATTCTTATATCACGTCTTTCGTCATATGGATAATGTGTTGAGTAGAGATGATATTCTCTTCTTTTTAGATCTCCGCCCGAATCCTGGATTATTATTCATAAATGTTCGTCTTTTTTTTTTGTGCTTTGTTTCTTTTATTGTTGCCTCTTAACTGTTTCCATTTGAATTTTAGTCCTTCCTTAAGCTGAACCTTGAATAATTTGATAATAGTCTCTCGCGTTTGCGGCAACGGCGAAATTAGTAAGTGGGAATGTCTTTTGCTAATACCCATATTCCGTACCAGTAAATTAATGGGGTTTTGTGGTTTTCTTGTTTGGGTTGAGAATTATTATTATCCAGTTTGCCCCTTTATTCGATATTAGATATTAGATGTTAAATACTAATGAGTCGCCCCAGAGTGCAAATAGTTTTCTCGAGAGGCATTGGTTTGCCCTTCGATTTTTTATGAGTTTATAAATGCCACGTGAGATACTTTCTGATCGTTTATGTCTTTGGGCAGTCTTTATAAGTTACTGTTGACTGAATGAGAAGTAGTGCCACTAAATTATACGTGCCTTGTCTGGGTAGGGCTAGTTTTATTCCTGGTTCATATACACTGTGACTATTCACAATGGTTGTCTTTATGCCCCCTTAAGACCAGTGAAATATTTTCCGTTATATATCACTCTATAATATAATATTATAATAATATATATTAGGAGAAAAGGGGTTAAATTCTTGTGTATACCTGAGGAATTTGTTTGTAGCACTCAATATGAGTTGAATTTTGTTTTTCCATATGTAAGGTTCAAGCTCCATTCACTTGAGGGATAGATGTTTATATTTCTTGGGATAGAATCTACTAACCTAGTGTTTGGAGTTCAAAGGTGCAAACTGGGTGAAGTTGTGATCCGCCACTGAATATATAGATTGTTAAAAATTGGAAAACTTGGGACTGTTCTTTTATCTTACCTTTATTGCGAAAAGGCATTCAATGGTTTGATTTAATCAAATAGTGAATAGCGTGGATTGTATTATTTCCGTAAATTATTGGTATAAAGTCTAAATTACTGATTAAATGGCACAATGGAGACAATGAATCCAACTAATGCTTAGTTTGGTGTGTGGTTTGTGACAACGTAGAGTTGTTGTTTGCCTGATATACACCAGTTGACTCTTCCAGCTTGAAGTTAGAATCATGCCGAAGTTGAATGGATGGCTTAGTGGTTAGTATTCTTATTTTTTTTATCTCGTCAATACATTACTATTTGAAAGGTGTGAGAATAGGTTTTGGATAGTTTCCAAAAAAAATTGAACATACTAAAAGAGTCAATTTTGATTAGGAAGAGAAAAAATTATGCCGTGCCAAACTAGCTGTAGGTATGTTGTCAAGAACTATTGTTCCAGGGAGTGGGTATAAATAGGAGAAGTCAAATTTTCTTAAACAACCCCCCTTGTGTAATACTATTTGAAGTTACAATGCATTATATTGGGTATTTTGTGCATGATGTTAATCACAATATAAGAATGGAGCAAACCATGGGCTTGCAGATGGTGGGTTCTATCTCTTAAACTGTGTTTCACCCTTAAAACTCAGCAAGGCTGTGGATGGCTTGTGAATTTTGTTGTGTTATGCTTCAGTATTTTTGCTATGGTACCAGTATTTTTTGTGTAACACATCAAAAAATTGCTGTTAAGATTTGACAAAGGAGCTCGATATTCTTTGTGCCAAATTTTGTAAACCAAATGCTGAAAAAAATTCAAACTAATTATTGTTTACTGATATGCCTGCCTAACTTTTACATGTCAAGAAAAAATGTTCCAGAATAAAAAAAAATGGATGACTCCCTTTTCAGCATTGCTGCAATTATGTTTTAGGTTCAATGAATTTTGCGAGGATGGTGGGCCTGCTTGTAAAGGAGTTGAACCCTCCAAGCTTCTATTGTCAATAAAACACCTTTCCTCCAAATTGGGGGATAGTGATATCTGATATTGATCGTGAGAACCTGTTCCCTTAACTATTTCTTCAGCAACCCCTACATGCAAATTTGTTATTTATTTTACATTCTTCCCATCTTGAATATGTATCGCTTTTTGTATTCTCTAACAAACTTGTATATATTTTCTGTACAAGCATAGGAATTTGGGTTGCTTGCATGATTGTCCCTTAAGGGTCTCGGGCACGGCTTCCCTCTTTGTATTTGGACACCGTATTGCTGCTTTATCTACTTGGTTAGGTTTTCCTTTATCCTCTTTGAATTTTTATATATGATTTGTTCTTTAAGATTGTTAGTAATAACTGACTCTGAGCTTATCCCCTATAAGCTACTGCTGATACATATAAGAGAATTAAACAAGTAATATTATTTATTACTTATATTATTTTTTTTTTTGCTTTAAAAAGCTTTCTGCAACCTTGGCCGTTAAGCTCTCCATCGTGAACACTTCTATAATTATATATAGTCTTGGGATATCAGTTCCTGATTTAATATCTCTATCATTCTCCTTAAATGAATTCTTGGCAGGTCCATTATTTGGAGAATTTATGCCTATGTAAGTTTAATTTAGCTCGTTATAAACCTCCTTCCTCTTTTATTATTTTTTGCTCAATTTTGTTGACCTTTTGGTGGATGAAATGTTTTTATATTGTTTTAATGATTCTATTTGGCAGCGTGTTTGCACTTTTTGGGGCAATTAGCTCTTCTTCAATAGATGAAAAACTTGGATCATTCCAAAGAGACAAATCAAGAAGAAAGTCCCCAAACGGAAAAGTGGGCTAATTGTGTCTAAAAGATGCCAATATATAACTAAAAATGGAAATGATGTTTCTTCAGCAGACTGCAATTATTACTGGGTGTCAGATTAGTGGCTGCACACATTATCTTTTAATGGGTGTCTTTTTGAGCTCTAAAGCGATAACCCAAATTTGCAGTCTTTTCTACTTTTTTGGGGTGAATTTATAGATTTTTGTAGATTAGAGTCTTCTTATTTAAATGTAGGTTTATGTAGATATTATATCTATTATTCATACAGGTCTACTAGTCAATAGGTTTGTTAGTTTACAGTATAAACCAGGTTAGCAGATTAAGCGTTTGGAATTTTGTCTTTCAAAGATAAAAGAACACAGATTTCTGATTTAGTGAGAAGAAAAGTTTTTTGAATTTGAAAATTTTAGGCATGGTCATTTGGGTGAGTATCATTCTGGTTCGATTCATTTATGCTATTATGTAGCGGAAATTTACCTATAAATCCTTCATTTGGGCTGTCAATATTCTACAATTTTCTCGTACGGTATACACTTATTCTGATAACCCGCCGACTATAAGACTGTGAAGCATAGAATTTGCCATTGGGGTTTGGTAATAAGGTATATAATGAAAAAGAGCCATGGTTCTATGCCTTGGTTACTCTGATCAACAGACTTGGTCAAGAATCCGGCTGTTCTCATGGACTGCTAATTATTATTAAAGATGTTGGTCAAAAAAATGCGTTTGATATAGACTTTATTACGTTTTTGGGTAAACTTATGTTCAAGAGATGTAGTATAGACACAAGACTTGGAGCGCGGAGGAATAGCTAGTTTAAAACGTATTACTCACCAGAAGGGCTCCACGATTCACGACAAATTATTCGACATTAGGCATAGAACATTGGCAAAATACTATGTGGGATAAAAATATTTTCCTTGTCTTTTTATTTTTACTTCTTGTAGAAATTGTTATCTAATTTTGCCAGATATTAATTCATGCAATCTTAAAATTCACAATATAAAAAGATGGAGGAAATAGAGATTTGTTATTATTGAGATAACTTTTTATATCAAATCAAAATCCAGGGATTATGTTATTCTTAAATGTTTTTGTACAAGTACACTAGGGTCCTGCTGCGTTGGAAGAGAAAAAGTGAACATGTAGTATTCAGCAACAGATATATTATAATAACGCCGACTGATGGCATTCGCTGTCACAATTATTACGAATAAGTCTTTATTACTCGAGAATGGGTTTCACAATACTATTCGCACTCCTTAAAATAATGGATGAGGAACACACAGCTTCTCAGTAACGTTCTGCCGGGACCTCGAGGTGAAACGAGGAAAATTCCCAGAAACAATAACTTTCATGCTTAGGTGCGGGAGCTTACACCATCGTGGAGTTGCCGTTCAAATTAAGAGAGAGGGGTTATTAAAATCGTCACCGTATTTTGGATAACGTGCATTCTAGAAGATCAAAGTTTGAAGTAATGGAAATTATAGGAGTGAAAGTTGTCGAAATGGTGCTAATTACAAAATTGGGATTCTTTATGGCATTGTATGTTAGTCTGTCACCGCGTTTCGACATTCCTATATCAAGAAACTACTATCATTGAGAATATAACTATTAAAGTAGAAGTTAGAGTGCTGGTTTTATAATGGTCCTGAATATATTAAGGAGAAAGGGGTTAAATTCCTTGTGTATACGTGAGGAATTTGTTGTAGCACTCAAATATGAGTTGATTTGTTTTTCATATGTAAGGTTCAAGCTCCATTCACTTCAAAGATGTATATTCTTCTGTCACTAACTAGTGGGCATCACTGTGCAGTTGTCCACTGTTAATAGATTTTAATGGAACTGTTCTTTTTTCTTTGCAAAGTCATTCAATGGTTTGTATTTATCAAATAGTACTGCGTGGATTGTATTATTCGTAATTTGGTATATAAATTCTTGTAACTGGCACATGGAAACATGTCAACAAGCTAGTTTGTGTGTGTTTGTGCAAGAGAGGGTGATTACACAGTTGACTTTCAGTTTGAAGTTGAATCATGCAATTGAATGGATGGGCTTAGTATTTTTTTTTTTTTTTTCTGTCAAACTTCTATTTAATGTGAAAGGGGTGTCAAAATAACATAAAGAGTCAATTTTTGAGAAGAAATTTGCTGCCAACTGCTGTAATGTTGTCAGATATTGTTCCCAGTGATGGAAGGAAGAAGCAAATTTTCTTACAAACCCCTTGTGTAATTTGAAGATTACACTGCATATATTGGTTGTGCTGATGTATCATAAGATGAGCAACATGGCTTGCAATGGTGTTCTATCTCTTAAACTGTGTTTCAACCCCTTAACTCAGCAGGCTGTGATGGCTTGTCGATTTGTTGTGTTATGCTTCAGTATTTTGCTATGGTATCCAGTATTTTTGTCAACTAAAAATTGCTGTAGATTTGACAAGGAGCATCGATATTCTTTGTGCCATTTGGTAAACCAAATGCTGAAAAAAAATTCAACTAATTATTTGTTACTGATATGCTGCCTAACTTTTACATGTCAAGAATTCCAGAATAAAAAAATGGATGACTCCTTTTTCACATTGCTCAATTATGTTTAGGTTCAATGAATTTGGCGAGGATGGTGGGCCTGCTGTAAAGGAGTTGATACCCAAGCTTGCTATTGTCAATAAACACCTTTCCTCCAAATTGGGGGTAGTGATACCTGATATTGATGTGAGACCTGTTTCCCTTAACGTATTTCTTCAGCAACCCCTGCAAATTTGTTTATTTATTTTACATTCTTCCATCTTGATATGTATGTTTGTTTCCTAAACTGTATATATTCTGTACAGCCTAGGAATCTGGTTGCTGGCATGATTGTCCTTAAGGGTCTCGGAGGCTTCCTCTTTGTATTTGGCACACCGTTTGGTGCTTATCTACTGGTTAGGTTTTCCTTCTCTTTGGATTTTTATTTGATTTGTTCTTAGATTGTTAGATAACTGACTCCTGAGCTTCACCTATCAGCTACTGCTGATACATATAATGATTAACAAAGTAATATTATTTATTTACTTATTATTATTTTTTTGCTTTAGCTTCTGCACTTGGCCGTTAGCTCTCCACTTCTGTACGACTTCTATAATTATGGTCGGGATCAGTCTGAATACTTCATTCTCTTAAATGAATTCTTGCAGGTTCATTTTGAATTTATGCCTATGTAGTTTAATTTAGCTCGTTATACCCTCCTTCCTCTTTTTATTTTTGCTCAATTTGTTGACCATTTTGTGGATGAAAATGTTGTTTATTTGTTTTATGATCTTTTGGCAGAGTGTTGCACTTTTTGGGGCATTGCTCTTCTTCATAGGAATGAAAAACTTGATTCCAAAGAGACAAATCAAGAAGAAAGCCCCAAAGGCAAAAGTGGGCTAATTGTGTCAAAAGATGCCATATAAAAAAATGGATGATTCTTGCAGCTGCAATTTTACTGGGTGTCAGATTAGCTGCACATATCATTTTAATGGATTCTTTTTGAGCTCTAAATGCGATAACCCAAAATTTGCAGTCTTTCTTTTTTGGGGTTTTTAGATTTGTTGTCCTTATTTAAGGGTTAGATTATCATTTCACAGCCTGAATAGGTTTGGTAGTCAGTATACGTTTGATTTTGTCTTCAATAGAATTTCTGATTGGGCAAGAATTTTATGATTTAGATGCATTTGTGGATCTTCTGGTTCGATTCATTGCTATTATGTAGCGGATTTATAATCCTTTTGGCTGTCAATTTACATCTCGTACTTAATATTCTGATACCCCTCAAGCTGTGAAGCTTGATGCCATTGGTGGTTACAAAATGAAAAAGAGCCAGGCCTGTTGGTTTCCTGATCAGTGGAGTCCGCTGCTCTCTGCTATAATAAGAGTTGTAAAAATTGCGGATAATAATTTTTTACGTTGTAGAACTAGCAGAAGAGTTGCCAGAGCAGATACTGAAACTATTTACAGAGGGCAGATTCACCAATTTGATAGCAGAACATGGCACTATGTGGGATAAAAAATATTTTTCCTTGTCTTTTTATTTTTACTTTTTGATATCTTTGCCAGATATTAATATGCAACTTAAACAAAAAAGATGGAAAGAAAATTGATTTATTCTTTTTCATCAATCCATGATTATTATCATTTGCAATGCGCGTAGAAAGGAAGTAAATTGCACGATAACAACACTATGGCCTCTGTAAATATACGAAAAGTCTTTACGATAACAATACTATCGCCTCCTTAAATATGGGTACGAGGAAAAGCTCTACGTTCTGCGGCATGAAGGGAATTACACTTCTGATTGCGTTTGAGGTTAATTAAATGTTACGAATTTGGAAGGCATTCCTAGAAAGATCAGTTGAAATGGAAAAAGGAGTTGGAATGGTGCTAATTAAATTCTGTGTTCTGCGTTCCATTTATCATAGAAACTAAAGGAGAGTGGATAAAAAGCTGAAACTTATTGGGATTTAAAGTCAGTTGGCAAATGTTTTAATATTTTGGGAAGAACAATTTTTTTTAGGTCATTAAAAATTTTAAATGGAATAGTTTAAATTGTAATTCTATTTTTTTCCTTGAGAAAAATGAAAAAACAACTCGATGAAAATTTTCGCTCCATATCTGAATTTCTTCAGTCTATCTTCGCCCAGCCTTGGTTATTATACGACGTCGTATAGGCAGCAAACCTTGTTCTTAGCGGTATCTATAAGCTCCAAAGGACGTCCAAATCAACCAAACCATTGTTGCAATAAAACTACATGGAAATCGCGAAACTGGGAAAAAGGAAGGGAAAGAAAATTTGAAGAAAACAAAAGCTAAAGGAAATAACGATTCACTTACCATTGCAACTACCACAGGCAGCTCGTCTTGATTGTCATGGTATATGATTCATCAATAACTATCTTCTCTTTCTCTGCTCAATTTGAGTAACTCTTTCCTTTTCTTTTTCTTCGCCGGCAGGATTACTTGAAGACAGTGGTTCCTTCCCAACTCGTCAACGAGCGAGGCTCCAATCTGGTTGTAATCAACCCAGGTACTGTTACTACTATTTTCCCATTAGGAGTGTCTAGAAACAGTAACAACAAGCTAAAGAAGGAAATGTTTGATTTTCTATTTTGGTGGTGATGCTGCTCAGGGTCTGCGAACGTTAGAATAGGCCTTGCGCCTCAGGAAACTCCCTTTAATATCCCTCACTGCATTGCTCGCTATACCAACCAAACGCCTAAATTAAATGTTCGAGATCAGGTTTAACACTATGTCCTTTTTTTCCCCGCATAATTGTTATAGTTTTCCAAACTTTTTTCCTTAGATGTTTACTTCATTTTTCCCTTCTCGGCTTTAGACGCTGAATTCTCAGGTTACAACTTCACAGCACATGGATCGCGAGAAGGCATATGATGTTGTAGGTTATAATTTGCATGGTTTCAAATTGTCTCGGTGATTGTTGGATAATTTAGTGTTGAGTTGATAATTTAGCTATTTATGAATTTTATTTTATTTTATTTTTGTTCAATTGTCTTGAAGATTGCTTCGTTATTGAAGATACCGTTTCTGGATGAAGAGGTTGCTAACAATTCTTTCCCACGCAAGGTATGCCATAATAATTATCTCTACATTTGCTTTTTATGCTGACTTAACCTTTCTCATTGTAGTGTGTATTAGTGGAAAGTAATGACTAGATAGCCATATGGTAGTGCATAACCAGCTTGCTAATAGGTTTATAGTTGCTCATGATTATAAAATTAATGAAGTTATTCTACAGATAGGACGTGTTGATGGATATAATCCACAAAGTGGCAGGAAGGATATGGCTTTTACATGGGCTAGTGTATATGAGCAAGAAACTAATTCTTCTTTGGCGCCAGGTAACAAAAAGAATTATAGTTTGTTCAACTACTACAAGCTGATGTTTAGTTTATATTGGTTCAGATATATCCATCTTGAAATCTTTCACCACTCTTTTGGTGTGCATCGTATCAAGATGGAAAGTAACACCCTTATATTTCCTTACAAATTTTGTAAACAAATCTTGCTTTTGTCTGTTGTTATTTTCCTGTTAATTTTCTTGTAATCTAAATTGTCCTGTATTCTTGATGATGATTGCTTTAGTTTCAGTATTCTATGCTTATACAATGCCATATAATGGGAGGCGTTTCCTAGATTATGGTTTGAATTACTTTTTCTAATAAGAAGTTTATTCAGACATTATTTTATTTGCTCATTTGTTCACTTTATGACTATTCTTTATTTCCGAGTCATTTGATTAATTGTGGTTGATCATCAAAGTTGTTTCATTGGGCAATTGGGCTTTGGATTTTCCAATTATTGATATCATTTTGGATTTGCTGTTGTATCCCAACTTATGCATATTGTTTGTGCAGAAAGACCAACAAATGAAGGTCAGATTGGTGGGTCCTTGGAGAAGCATGAAAGTAAGGAGCCCTCTACAAGTGAGCGCAAGTATAGAGGATTCATTTGTGGCGAGGAAGCCCTAAGAATATCCCCTACAGAGCCATATTGTTTACATCGCCCTATTCGCAGAGGTCACTTCAACATTTCACAACATTATCCAATGCAGCAGGTGTTGTTCTTGTGTCAGTTAGCTTCCTTATGAATATCACGTGTATATTGCTAACCACTGACCAACATTAATTTCATTTATGTGTACCTTTTTTTTCCCATGAAGCTTATGCTTATCTCTTCAATAGGGGAGGAAAGTTTTATCAGTTTTCTTCATGGGTTATGACATGGTGCCAAATTTTGTTTCAACATATCTGTTTTGATTCAAAAAAATATTTATTATTGATATCTTCTTAGAAATAGCCACATCATATTGATACTAGCCTGGCATAATAATGTTCTAACGTTTCAGCAAACGCAAAAATGAAACTATTTTCTGAAAATGTACAACACTTTCTTGTTTCTTAGGTGCTTGAGGACCTGCATGCTATTTGGGATTGGATTTTGATGGAGAAACTACATATTCCTCAGTCTGAAAGAAACATGTATGCTGCCATCCTTGTTTTGCCAGAAACATTTGACAATCGCGGTAATCATATGTTGATAGTTTTGTCTAGACAGGTCATGAACTCTTAAAATAGGAGATATCTAGTTTGCTATTTTCATTTTGGCAGGGGGGATATTAAACATCTGAGGGTGTTTTCAAAATTTCAACCATGATTAGAGCAAATCTTATTAGAATTTTTTTTTCAAGTCAATTTCATGCATCTTGTGCTTGCTTAGATGTTTGAGGACATTGATTATTTGGAGAATCTTGCAATATTTTCTTTTCTTACTTGTCTTAATCAGAAATAAAAGAAATGCTATCTGTGGTACTACGAGATTTGTGCTTTAGTTCAGCAGTAGTGCACCAGGTTAGAGACCTCTTCCTTCTTCAAAAAATTGATCAGATAGCTAATTTCTAGTTATCTTTCGATGCTGACATCATATTTTTGGTAAATTCCACTTTGTGAATTACATGCTTATTTCTGATATTTTTTATCTTGGAATGATGTAAATGTAATGGATGGGCTCTTTCTATCTTACCTTTTCCCTCTTACATATCAAAGTAGTTTTGCTTTTCTGCAAATTTAATAATTGTTTGTCTTGGCATTGAGGTTCAAACTGGTTTATCGTTGAAAATGAGTTTGAAATTACTGTTTTGGAGTTGAAATTCCTTTATTGAAAAAGCAGCATTTCACTACAAAGGTGGCTTGAAACTGTTGTTTGGCTGGCTTGGAGTTTATGATCAAAACTTGGAGAATGTACCGTAACATAAATAGGCTTATGCTAAAGGAAGTGGTCTCGACACAGGAAGCAAAGAACGCCCTCTATCAGGAATCATTGGACAAATTCTCTATGCATATTCCTCTCTTTATCACCTTGATTGCAATTGATCAATGTTTTAAATTGGTGCCTTTTCACAATTAGACAAGTCATCATTCTGCTATGATCAATTTTTTTGAATGTTATGTGAATAATAAACTCCTTTAAGGTGAGATTCTGATGTATGAAATAAAGTTTGGCCTTTTCTTTGAAGAATACTCATTAGCTTAACCTGCCTTTGCCGCCATTAATGACAGTACAATAACTACCCATGTTTAGTTTTTGCTGCGACATTATTCTGATTTTCATGGTTTGACATATTATTTTTAGGAGGTCTTCTTAACTGATCTACTTAGCATTGTGATTTCCTAACTTATCACTTTGTGAGATGATTATCACAGGAAGGTCTTGCAGCAGTTTTTGGGAATGGCTTATCAACAGCATGTGTTGTAAATATTGGTGCCCAGGTGACATCTGTAATTTGTGTTGAGGTAATTGAAGTTGTATGGTTAATTTGATGTCTATAACGCATCTAGAATTTGTTATACAAATATGCTTGTTTTGCTAAAGTTCTTGATATTAACGGTTTCTCTATCCTATTATAAGAGGATATAACATCCTTTATTGTTAATTTGACTGAAAACAAACGTATAACAGAAAGGGAAAAAAATACTTTCCTTTAGAAGCAAAAGCTTTTCATGTATCTTATATTGAGTTCCTTACTCCCGCAGGGATATGGCCATCTGTTTTTCCAACTTTCCACCACCGGAGCTATCATAATCATCAAAACCATTATCAATGAGTGTTACTGCTTTATAAACATTTTTTCAGCACATTATCACCACAATTGCCATCAGTACTGCCCATATTCATCATTCTTGGTTCCTTGGCCATACTATTACCTGTTGCTGTTGCTGTTAATCTTATAGCATTTTCAGTACTATCAAGCATTTTTTTGTAATTTTAAAAATCGAGTTGCTGTGTCAGTTGAGTGTTTGTGCATGATTTTCTACTTCTAGTCGCCACACCTTCCCCTTTTCATACTTTTGCATTCAGCAAAATCAAGGAGCAGATTTTTGTAGTGTATTCAGTCCATTCCTTTGGTTGCCTTTTTCTCTGAGCTTCTTCTTCTTATAGCTGTTATTATTAAAACAATACAACAGTGCTAAGTGCAGATGTCAAGGCTTGTCTCTTATGAGAATTAATTATGTTTTGCTTTGGTGTTCAGGATGGTGTAGCGCTACCTAATACAGAAAAGACTTTGCCCTTTGGCGGGGAGGTTCGTATTCTCTATTCAACTCTATTAATTCATTATTGAACAGGGAACCTGTTTATAAGCTTCAATATGTAAGGAAGTTGTTGTAAATTGAGTTATCTGTAGCCTTAGTGGATATATTTTGTGTTCTCCTCAGAAACCAAACATTTAAGTTGATGTTTACCACAAGGTAGTTCTTTCAATTTTTGCAGTCAATTAAAAGTTTTGTAAGAGGTATAGCATAAGACAAAATAGGCCTTTTATTGAAAATTATAACATGAAATGTTGTTCAAGAAATTGCTTTATCACATTTTGAAATATCAATGGCAGGTAGAAAGTTGCAATAATCAGACACTTTGAGAATGTGTTTTACTATGAGATTTTAAAATTAATGACTTCCACATTTACTGGAATTATGTAGAACCTGCACAATCTGCATGAAATTTTTACTTACATTTTTGTTGATGTTTGCAATGTCCTGTAACCTTAAGCATTTTGCTTTAACCTTAACCTTCTGATAAGCTTTGATTGCTCACTTTGAAGTCTTGCTTTATAATAATTGTGATTATGTTGTGATGATGATGTAAAAATCATTTTTTAGAGAAAATCACCAAAAACAATGATGCCTTAGTGGACCACCATAATTAGAATGCAAGTGGAATTTGAACTGGTGGTGTTATAAATGCCATTTGCTGATCACCTTGGGTGGAAGAAATATATTTGGGATATTTCTGCCTCATGTTCTTATAAAAGTGATTACTTACATAACAAACTATAATTTCCAGTCTGTGCATAATTTGTTTATTTGAGTTTCTATCTGTGATAATTCACATTCTTCTCATTATTATATTTGTTATGCTTGGAATTTTTTGCTTGAACTTTTTTGTATTAATGATGGTTTGTTTAGAGTAGTTAACTAGTATATTTCTTCAGGATATATCAAGATGCCTACTATGGACACAGAGGCATCATCAGACATGGCCCCAAATTCGAACAGACATTTTGACAAAGCCCATAGATCTGCTTATGCTCAATAGACTGAGGGAATCCTATTGTGAGATCAAGGTGAGCTTTATTTTCCCTTATTTTGAGATCATAGTACTATTTTATAAATGCATGTCTACACAGTTGCTTTTAGGACGAAAAATCTATGCTTATTCATCACTGTCATACTGCTGATCTTGTAATTTGGACCTACTTCTCTTATGAAATTGAGATCTCTGTTCATAATAATAAATCTGTTGTGCAGTTCATTCAATTTAAACTTTTTTTCTTATTTGAATGGTCTTACAATCCTTCTTGGTCTTTCAAATCAATATTAAGTAATTAACTCGACTGCATTTATTTTGTGGACCGACATCAAATCATGAGAAAAATGAATCTTGAAACAAAATTGATGGTTGATACCTCTATATGATCAATGTATTCTTTTGAGCTTACATCTACTATACCTTGCATTTCTTTCTATACGTTGTTATCCCATAATTTTAGTTTGTAACCGATGTAAGCTTTTAGTACTAAAAATCACATAATGCCATAATTCTCGACCGCTAGATGTTCAATTATGGGCTAATTTCTTTGGTCAATCCTCATTCTCCTAAAGTTCTTTCCTGAAACGTCTTCCACTGTTACATCGTAAACCATATACTTCCATATAAATTCTCTTTATGGCAGGATTTTAGTTTTTACTGATTCTGCTTTCTGTTGTAATTAGCCTGGTATGAGCTGCCAAACATTTCTGGAAGGGCTGATATGGATATGTTCCTAATCTTTTTGGTATTTTTGAGTAACTGGATAACAAGTTATTGACTTCTATAATCAGTCACATGCTACTGATAACCCTTTGAAGTGTATCTCATTCCTCTCTAACTTTTGTGTACAGGAGGGAGAGGTTGATGCTGTAGCTGTAGTTCACTCTTATGAGGAAGACATGCCTGCTGGATCTCATAAGACGAGGCTAATTGCTCTAAACGTATGTGTAATATGATGAAAACTTTTGTAGATTTATTCTCTTTTTAAAGGATGTGTAGCTGAGCAGTGCTTGATGGTTCTTTGTCAAACAGGTACCTCCTATGGGTCTGTTCTTCCCAAAGCTTTTAGTTCCAGATGTATATCCTCCACCACCCCGTTCGTGGTAGGAATATTTATCAACTTTCCTTGCTTTGGACCTGCTTTATTGCATGTACCTATGGACCAACTTACCAAATGCTTTGGTTATTCTTTTCACTAGGTTCCATGACTATGAGGATGTGCTGGAAGATACATGGCATATGGAATACCCGAGAAGACCTGATATGGCAGATGGTTTATTTCCAGGGATTAGTGTTGGATTACCTATGTGGGATAATTATCCAGTTTTCCCTTCCAAGCCTAAGAAAGAAGAGAAGGTTGGTCTTGCAGAGGCTATCACCAGTAGCATTCTTTCAACAGGTAAGATTTTCATACAATTTTTCTACTCTCATATGGTAAACTGTTTGATACTTGTATTAAATATTTTTCTGTTGACAGGTCGTATAGATCTCAAGAGAAAATTATTTTGTAGCATACAAGTGGTGAGTTTTGGTTGCAATATTGTTTGCATGAGTATACATTCTTAAATTTCTTGTACACCAGAAGATTGACATAGGTTTGGGCTGTAGATTGGTGGAGTGGCTTTGACACATGGTCTTAGTCCTGCAGTGGAGGAAAGGTTGGTTCCACTTTGACTTTAGAAATAGATAATGTAATTGTCGCATTGCTGCTGTGGACCTGATATTTGAATATGGTATGCCAAAAATAACATGCATCAAGATTGTCCGGATTAAGTCCAATAGGGGGAGGAACATCAGATCAGGCACTCATTCCTTTGGCTCGCAGTTTTGATTGATAATTGGGTATATTTGTGTATATTACTCAAATAACTAGAAAGAAAACCCTATATTTGCTTGCATTGTCTGTCAATTTATTTTCTGAACCAATGGCTAGGCTAGCATGCCACTGAATATGTGCAGGGTTGATAAAATGCTATTAAAAAGTTGAGATTATTAGACATTTCTATACTCTCCAAATGGTAGGTGAAGTACTTATTTTGGAATTTAAACTTCCATTTGGATTCTCCATTTTTTGTTTAATCCTTTTGTTCTCTTTATATGAATGAAAGTAATATCAAACCTTTTTTTTCTTCCCTTGTCGGTGTGAGGGGTTAAAACAATTGATATTTTGGGATTGTTGTGTTTATCAAGAAAGTATGTCATTTAGATGCTGCTTAAAATATAAAGGATTGACTTAGTTATCGTGAAATACATACACCATGCCTGTATTCAAATTTTCCTTTCTTACTGCAGAGTTCTACATACAATTCCCTCGAATGAAGCAATTGATACTGTTGAGGTTAGCTTGCACTTATATATTTTTGGTCTGTATTGACATCAATGCTTGTGTCCTTGACTCCATGTCTGTAGATCATAGATCAAAACATGATAGGAGTAGTTTATTTTCAATTTCCAACACTTTTTTAACACCAAAGGAAGTTGGGAACTCCTTGACTCTGCAATATTTAGTTGGTTCATTAATTATTTTATCTTTATCGAACAACCAAAGGTTGTTTTTGTGTGGTGAAATAGTACTAAAGTTGATGAGTTAGCTTCTGGAGAGGTTGCTGCTAGTTTACTTAAGAGAGATGATTTTGTCAATGATGGCAGACAAACTTGTTGGTCTCTGCACACTGAGAATTCTTAGTTCCTTAGCATACTGTGATAGTACTTTTGTCTTGCACACTACGACTTTTTATTGTTTCTATCAAGTTGTTGATTCCAGAAATTGATATTATCCGACCTTCACATATTTTAAATAGGTCCTGCAGTCAAGAACTAATCCTATCTCCGTGCCCTGGAAAGGTGGAGCTGTAAGTCTAGCACACACTATCCTCATATTTACGTTTTTAGAACTTTTACAGGCTTTAGTCTGTAGCTTAGAATCCTTCTATGGTACGCTAGTGTGACTCTGATGACAACTTACTTTTAGCTGATGGGTTGACATGGAATTTCATGCTATCTGTGTTGTTGATGCCAGATCCTTGGAGTTCTTGATTTTGGTCGGGATGCTTGGATACACAGGGAGGACTGGATTCGCAATGGCATTCACATTGGCAGCGGCCGAAAATACAAGGACTCTTACTACCTTCAAGCACAAGCTATGTGTTATATAAATTCTTAAATTCTTCCACTTCCTGATTATTTATCCTGCCTGTGTACCATAAATGTAGAACTTGGATCCAGTGTAAATTACATTTGGCCTTATTAGTCTGGAGATTTTATGCAAATGAAATTACACAGAATGTTTATCACTATTAACTTGGCAAGTTGTGCAAGTTTCCATTTCCTGCTCATGGCGTTTCAACCACATATCAGGTTAGTTGAGTGTGGCACGAAGCTGCTGACGTCTTCTCCATTCGTATTGCGACAAATAAAGCAAAGCTACGTTTCCAATGCAACTATCTAGTCGTTTCATCTCAATCAGCATTTATTTGTCGAAATAACATTGGTTCAGGATAGATGACGATAAGCACCTGCTGTAGGGCCCTGGTGTTGGCAATGTATATCCCTTTCTATTTGACAGGTTTCTGTTGTTTGCAATAGTAATTTATTAGCTAACAATCATTATTCCCAACTGGGCAACTGGCAGGACAGTGAAATGAGAATCCCACATCGAAAATGGGAAGCAAGACAGTCCATGGAGCTTGATATAAATATCGCTAGTGTTGCGCCATTCAAACTTAAAAGGGTCGGTTGGCTAAATGTGCCACACTCACCCTCGTTCGGTGGGTGCCGTATGGCTATCAAGACATATGGCCGACATAATTTGTGGAAACTGGTTAGGGTTGGCTCGCATGGCCGACCCTCCAAAAAGAGTTGCATAAAAGTTCAAACTCAATTTGATAAATATGTTTAGTCTTTTACTTTTATTTCATAACCAATTCATTCTCTCTTTGAAACGACAAATATAGTCTGTGTTTCACATCAAACAATTAAAGTTTAGAAACAATGTTCTCCTCATCCAATGCTAGCACGCCACATATGTCTGGATACAAGCTTTTTCTTATTTCCTTGTAAACGTCACCCTTCCATTTCCTCGATGCTAACTGCTCCCCAAGGCGAATTGTAGCATCAGTTAACTTAGCCTCGCTATCGTACGCCGCCTCCACGATTCCCATCCTTACCGCCTCCTCCCCTTTCACCTTAGCGCCTCTCAAGAGAACGTCACGGCGAGCGGAAACAGAGTGGAGCTTATCTCGAAATACAGACGCGAAATAATCCGGCAACGGAAGCCCTAAGTCAACTTCGCTCATGTACAACACGCCTTTATCACTCCGCATGAGAACGTAGTCGTGGCATATAGAAAATAAGAATCCGGCAGCCGCGGCGTGACCTTGGAGGGCTGCGACAGTGGGCATCGGCAGAGAGATCATTTCGGCGACCACCGGCTTGAAGGATTGCACCATGAATCGGAGGCGTTCCATGGCTTTAGAATTGGAGCCAGCGGCTCTAGCCCAGGCGAGATCGAAGCCGTTGGAGAAGAACTTGCCTTGGGATGTAGTGATGAGAACCGAACCGCGAGTGGCCTGAGACTTGACTTCCCGTAAAGCGGAGAGGACGGAATCGATGAGAGTCGGGCTGAGCCGATGCTCATCGGCGCCGGTGAACGTCAATATGAAGATATCGTCTCGTTTCTCTAACGTGCACATTTTTCTAGCAGTGCGGCATTCAGGAGGCTTAGAAGTCAAGACAGTCTGGTTCTTGGTGTGCGTGCGAAGGATTGATTATATAGAAAGAAGTTTTCCATTATTCTTCTAAGGATAAGACTTTTCTTTTTCCTTTATTTGTGAATAATCAGAAATATTTACTTTTAAATAAAAAGATAAGAAGTTTTCCATTATTGCAATTATATATAATAATTTTCCATAATTGCTCCAATAATCATATTTGTATATACAAGTTAAAACCACTTTCCTTATATTGTGCTTACAAATACCAAAACAAGCTCAAAAAGTTGAATTTCATTTTTAGAAAAACCTTCAATTTCCCAAAAGAGAACGACTTTTAATTATTTATTTTTGACATTTATGATTTATTTTAGAAGTTTGCAACTGCGTCTAAATACTTCTTAGACCATCAAATTGGTTAACATTCTTTGTTTTTTTTTAAAAAACAAAATGGTGCATTTTTGTTTTTATTTAGAAGTGTGTTATCAAATGAAAGAGTGACATTTATTGTGAACAAATAATATTATATACGTTTGTTGGGCTAAAACATGGATGCTAGATAGGCCACGTGATCCATTTGAATAATGTTGGCTTCATGATCCATTTATAGTGATGTGGCAGTCTGACAGCCTTTGATATTTTGTCACATTGCTTCAACTATATCTCTCGGTTTTTAAATATTTTCATTGGTTAGTTCACTATTTCCTTTATCTTTTTTCTTTTAGAAGTACTATTTCGTTTATCTTTAGCTTTGATGCATTGGTGGTAATTTAAATCGTATCTTTACTACAGAGCAAGGGATGAAATATGAAATGAAACAAAGAATATAATTTTTATTTACGTGTTAGTATACAATATAAAATAGAAAGTAATGAAACAGAAAATTATTAAAAATTCAAAATACATCAAATTACATTTTCTATTTCATTCGGGCTACTAAACAGTAATTCTGTTATCTAATTCCTGAATCTAACTGCAGCCTCCAATTTCTTCTTAATCCCACGGTAGAAGATCAAGCAATCTAGAGAATTCATCGCATAGGACAAAGGGAACAGTTACTGTTAGAACTTAGAAGATTCATGGGAATAGGAGATTATTGTTCTATTTTTCAATTTTACAAAATAAGTTCAAATATTATTAAATTTACAATTGCCCACACGCTGAAAATGTCAAAATTTGACCAAAACCTTGCTATAAAAATACATGCCAGATTGAAATAGAGAGGCTTTGTCCGTCATTTTGTCATTCCAGAAACAAAATTGCAACTGAGACCCCAACAAACTAAGGCTGACTTAGTCTTGTAACAAAGTTAGTTAGGATTAACCCAAATTATGAGACAAAAAAACTAACTCTGTTCATTTTTAAAATCAAGAATTATGCTATTGTTGTTTAATATGATGCATCTGCAAAAGAATGTTTGAAGAGCTCAAATGCTATATATTTAAATGAATTAATTTATGCTTTTTTGGATTGTGAGGAATGTTGCTAGAGAAAGGAAAACATTTCGGGCGCAGTTTGTGCCAGGCACAACCACAAAATGAGTGAAAATACTATAATGTCTTTCAAGAACTATATATCTAAAATTGAAATTGTAAATACATTTTTACTGTGTGCGGCACAATCTGTGCTGTTTAGGAGCTCTTTGTGAATGAATTCAATTATGTAAATTGAATTGCTGTTTGTATAGATGGATTTAACTATTCTATCCTTTGTCCATTATGGAATTAGAATCATAGACGTGGTTTGTCAATAAGCAGAAAAAATCAGCAGAAGTCCAATAAGAAAGGCAACAAATAGGAGCCAAGCAAATAAAGGCTTGGAATCAACCACGTAGGGATGATGCAAGCCGTTGGATGTGCCATTATTGTTATTCAGAATAAGTGCTTATCTTTAACGTTTATTTGAAGCAATTTGATTTCGGTTTTTTCAAGGTCAAAATCTGGAGGTGAAAGTGAGTTTTAGAAATGGAAAGCCCCCGCGGTTTTATAAGTTGGTAGTTTAGTTGGGTCCGTTATAGAAGGAATTGCGTAGCAGTTGTTTTGAGATTCAGATTGAAGCGTCAAAAAGCCAACTCACACTCTGACAAGACAACTCCTGCCTATGTTGCCTTTCTCTTTCAGCTTCAGCTTGTCATATGCTCGACTCAGCTTGGCTTTTTTGTTTTTTTTTTTTTTTTCTAATTCCTAATTATCAAGAAGGTCGAATTCAAAACTACCTGCTTCTCATCGATGATCAACCAAATCACATTAATTTATTTTTTATTTTTCAAATTTACTTTGTATATTAAATTAAAATTATATGGAATTGAAAATTTTAATAAAATGAAAGATGTAAAATATTATTGTGGTTAAATATATTAGAATTTACACACTACGAAGAAAAATAAAATTATAAATTATACAATATGAATAATTTTTTATTATGAAAAATTTTGGTTGAGATGATTTGAATTTAAAATTTTTAATATTTACATTTCTTATAAAAAAAATTCCACATCAAAAAAATAAAAAGATGATCTAAATCACTTAATATTGTTGTTATAAAGCTAAAACTAATACAATTTCATATAAAAATTAATAGGTTAAATTGAGCTTTAAACTTTCAAAATTAACATATTTTATCTGTTATTCTATGATAATCAAGCCAGGTGACAAACACATAATAGTACAATTTTAGCAAGTTAAACTTGATAATTTGAATATCCAAATGCAAAATTTTAGATAGTTTGCACAAATATCCATGAATAGACTATCAGAAATAAACAAAATCAAATGAAAATTAAAAAAACACACTTAAAAAAAAACTAAAATAGGCTTACAGAGCCGAGCCGAGCCGAGCCGTTACACGTTGTGACAGCTCATCCGGTCACACCCCTAATTTTGACTGTTTCATTTAATGTCTGAATCGCGGATGCCCACTTTCTTCTACCTCCACGCATATATATATATATTGTCTTCTACAAAAGCACCTAACTCATCTTCTTTTCTGTTCGCACAATATTTTAACGATAGACTTCTATTCTTCTCTTCTTCTCCTTCTATAAATTCCCTTTTCATCTTTCCAAGCTTCTGTCTATCTCTCTTATAGATGGCCGAAATCTCAAGGCATAGGACCTCCGGCGCCGACCCTCAGCCCAGCCGTCTACAACGGCGGAAACCGGCTCCCTTGCAGATCAATCCGCCGACGTCATCTCGATGGAACGCTGCAATCCCTCTTCTATCTCCGCTTCTCAGTTCACCTGCTGCAATGGATTTGAAATCTCGCGAAGAGCCGCAATCGCAGCCGCGGAATCAAGGAACTGAGCCGGAGAAAGCGGCCACTGTATTCAAGAAGTGGCAACATCCGGCGGCTCCTTTCTGTTACGAGCCGGCTTCTTTTGCCCCGACGTTTTATGTGCCTGTATAGATATGGAAGATTGGGGTATACAAAATAATTAATTTAGGGTTTTGTTTTTTAGATCTTCTAACGATGAAATGTTAACAAATTGTATACAGAGCTGGGTTTTTATTTTTATGATCATATACTCAATTAATTGCTGACAATTTTTTGTTTGTCTATACTTTTTAGTTTCTTGTTTAGCATTCATTTTACTTTAATTGGAAGCCAAAGATGATTATTGGTTCATTAATCCGAAAGAAGTCGGGTTTGGATCATATAATTCGTTTATATTTTTGTAATAATGATTGCAATTATATATAATAGGTTTTGTTAATAATTATTAAAAAATTAATACATTAATTATAAAGTATGATTTATTGATTACCCAATCAAACACCGACAGCTCCAATCTACAAGTTTGATTTGATCCGATTTGAATGGTCATAAATGAACGTGATTCATTCAAATAAACAAAACAAAAAGCAGAAATCCATTTTTATCCAGCTGATCTTTAAAAAAAGAAAAAGAATGGTCTACTAAAATACTGAGGTCAGAAATAGGGCACTGATTATTTTTATTCTGAATTAAATTATCCAAAACACGCATTTGAAATTGAATTATGGAATATTATGAGTTGTTAATGGTGAATAAGAAAGAAGAAAAAGACAGATATATTCAATTCTGAAGAAATTTTTATATGTCAATCATTCAAATTCAATGATGTAAATATTTGACTAGACTATACAGATTTTATTCCGTTCTATGCTCATCTTTCTACTTAAACAGTGAGAGTGAAAGTGGCTCCTCACCAAAGTTAACCATTTTGGTCATCCATTTCTATCCATGGTTACGTTACCCCACTCATGGACAGGATTCCAAATAACCACAGCTGGAGTTTTAAAGTTTCTGTTCCGCGAAATTAATCGTTATCTGTTTTTTTAATATTTATTTAAATAATTTTTTATAAAATATTAAAAAATTAAAATTAATTTTTCATAAAATATTATTTTAATCTATAAAAATTAATTAATTCAAATGAGATAACAACTCAATAGAAAAGACCACTTACCGAGTTGATTGGCAAAATTTAGACACGTGTTTTCCTGCGTTGTTTGCTTATTCAAATAAACAGTAAATCTTGGTACTCTCGTGGAAACAAAATCTGACGATTTGAGGCGTCTACAACAACAATAAATTTAATACCCAAATTAATAAAACTCCATTTTTTTTTTTCCTGCGAGTCAAATTGTTCACACAGATTAATTTCTAAAGTCTAGAAGTTTCAAGATGATTTACGAATCCATACTGGAAGTTTCAGGAAGAGTCCTTTGAAAATCAGGTTTCTTATTTGGCTTCATGCTACTTTCCAAAAGAATTTTCTTCTTCGATTATTTTATAAAAGGAAATTAAAGCTTAAGGATTACATAATATGAGCAAGAAATTCTGCCAAATATTTGAAGAGCTGATATAATAACTTATTCTTTAATTTTTTTTTATGCTTTCTGTAATGTAAAATATATATATGGGAAAACCCATTAATTCTAAATTTAAAGGGAATAATCTATATTTAAAATACATAAATAGCTCAAATTAAACACTTAATTATTTCCCTAAAACAAATTACTTATTGAGTTGCTAATTTAATATTGTTTTCCCCAAGTTATAAGAGTGAAAGTTCATTGTATTTTTCAATTCAAACTTAGCTAATTTATTCTATTTAAAATAAATAATTTTTTTCTGAAATATTAAAAGAATAATGCTGATGCAAATCAAACGACCATTTCTTTAAGATTTTTTCCATATTTTTAAAAAATGAAACAAATCCACAAGTTTTTCCATTAGCTACTTCATAGAGATGTCATTAAAATAGAGGAATTGGGTGAGTTTGTCCACCAAACAATTAATTTAATTTAATAAAATCTTAAATGTGTATTAGCCAGCCTGTTTGGTAATTTATACGAAGCTTCCAATCCAAACTGGCCTGAGAAATTTTTCTAGGGCCTAATTGAGACATGAATTGGACTACTTGGGCCGTAGTAGCTAGGCCCGTTTGGAGCTTGGAATTGGCCGCCTTAATTCCAATTCATTTATTTTTAGAACATCAGCTTTAACCAAAAAAAAAAAAAAAAAAAAATTAACTCCAAATGTCATTTTAAGTTTTTAGAACATCAGCCCTTTAGACCCCAAAAAAAAAAAGAAAAAAAAAACATCTGCATACTAATCTTTTTATTACAATTTAAAAAGGGGATAACGTTTAAGCAATCCAATTCCTAAAAAAAAAAAAAAAAAAAAAATCATCTGCATATATCTTTTATTACAATTTAAAAAGGGATAACTTTAAGCAATCCAATTCTAATTTAGCAATCCAATATAGACCCTCAGAAAAAGACTGTCTACAAATCAAGTGACATCCTTTGTATTTTTTTTAAAGCTTATAACTTGCAGAAGAGAAAAACCAAAAAAGAAAGAAAGCTTGATTATCGATAACCATAAAGGGCATTAGCAAATAATAATAATTGATGACTTTTCACCCCAAAGGAGAGTCCAATTACAAGCCTACATCTGCATGCAATCTGGCGGGAATTTGTTAGCATCAAGTAATCTTTTTGGCTCCTTTTTCTTTTTTTTTTTTTTTCCTTTTCCACTTTGTTTATTTTCCTTATACTCAAGAATTACGTGTTATATTTATCTCTAATGGGTTGGGTTGAAGGGTCCCACGTGATTGGCACATGCAGATTGGTCATAATATAAGTATTAATTTACATGTGGGATTGGTGGTGATCCTGATATGAAAAGGACTAAATGAATCTTAAGAGTACTGTTTTAGTTGAACCAATACTAGTGGTGAGAGTTTTGATCGCCAAAGCAATAACAATCATTGTTTGGCATGCTAAGAGAATATCTAAAGGGCATAGATTGCTTTCTAATTTTATCTTATGATGGTAATATTTCGAGATAACTTTTTATGTAGTATTTAGTATTTATTATTTAGTCAGAACAAATCATTTATGTTGTTTATATGTTAGTATTTAAGATTTGAGGGAATTGAATTATGAAATATTATTTTCATTAATGTTTGATGAAACGTTAAGAGAACAAATGAAACTATTAGAACAATTAACAGATATTAAAATAATTAATTTTAATGAATATAATCTCTAATTTACTGACATTTGGTACAAATATTTAAACAAATGATACAAATAATGCCTAATAGAGAAGATCAAAATTTAAAATTGACACAATTAAAGTTGCATATTTTAAAAAAAAAAAAATAATATTCTTAAAATTAGTGAAGTCTACTTGAGTTGCAACATAATAAATACCAACTTATATGCAAGTGGAAAAAGAAAAAGAGGCAAATAAACATGTGCAAAGTACAATGATAGGAAGAGGCAAAAGTAGCACAAAATGATAGACAAAGCGAAAGTGGTCCTTCAATAATTCCTTCTCTTCCTCTATACTTTTTGTGTTCTTTACCACCATCTCCTATTTCAATAAAGCGTCCCTCTAATCTATAACCTCACTCTGCATTTCCATTTTTCTGTTATAGGGAGTTCAACTACCATCAAAATCAGAAGATCCTTCGTTTCTTTTTTTTTTTTTTTTTTTTTTTTTTTAGATTAATGCTATAACCTCGCAACTAGATCTCAGGTTTTTTGTACTGTTCCGATTTTGTCTATGTATTATAGAAGTCTCCATCAGGGCAGTGTATCAACGTACAGTACAACAAGTCCAGAAGAGCTGCAAATGGCGCCAGTTGGATATCGTAATTCGTTTTTTTTTTTTTGGTTTACTTGTTTTAGTTTGTTTGTTAAAGGCATTAAGAACAACTGATTATAATAATTAAGAAAACAATGTTAATCTGAGTATTTTTGGGTACGCAGGTAAAAGAATAATAATAATATAATAAATTAAAAATGAAGTGGGTATTTTTCATAGCTTGTTGTATTCTTTGCTCCATCGCAGTAATAGGGGCCTTGATCATTGTTTCCTAGTAGCCAAGTATGGGAAGTGGCTGGACCATCGCTGATCTCATATGATGCCAGCAACGCCGAAAAGATGCAGTGGACTCTTTTATACCATTTTGTGCAAGAGTTTTTTTTAAGATTTGCCTGGTCAGAAGCCGGGCAGTTTTGCTGTTCCATCTAGTAATTGTTCACTCCTGTGTCCAGAATAAGGCAATAGACAATTTTAAGTTTTGGCAGAAATAATTAGTACTCATTCGTCCTTGTCGGGTCTCCTAACGAAAAATACTAATTGTGTTAATATTCACATTGTTAAATTCTGAGTGGTTCGAGGCTTCAGTTGGAAAATTGATTGTTAAAATAGTAATGATGCGAACAGTAATTTTATTCAGAAAAATGTGGTAACGTGGCGGAATATTGTAAATATGAGTGCTCTGTACTTCTGTTTGGCTGATGTCTAGAGAATTTAAGCTTTTGGATGTAGCAGTTACTAGAGTGGACAATATCTCACTCAGCTGGAGAGATCGTGCCAACAGGTGCCATAATGATCTTTCTAGTGACCAGGCAGAGCCTTTTGTGAGATGGTTTGTTGTCTATCTTCAGGCTTTGATTTGGTCCATGTAACTCTGAACAAGTCTGATGGAATCTTATTCTGAGCCTATGTCCTGGATTTCCTAATGATAGAGTGCCGAAAAAAAATGGTGCATGTGGTCATGTTGGTCCTAGGGCATATTGGGTAAACGCCATCCTTGTATAAGTGCAAAACAAGCTATGCGTAACGCCTCCCACTATTAGATTGACTGCTTTGTGGACCAAACTCTGCCTATCCTGTGTAATTCAAGATTTCAATTAATAAGTGTTGTTTTTTTGTTTTACGGGTGCAGCAAAGTCAACCCAAGACCAATGAATTTACAAATGAAAGTAGACATAATTAAAGATTTGATGGGGTGCCGCTACTCCTGCAGTGGGGTGTTATGGCATCTCAAGTGAGTGTCAGATAATTGAGAAGGAGGAGAGAGGAGGCAATGGTAATGCCAGTGAAAATATATTTTCGTAAAGTTATATGTCTGGCTATGTACAAGGCTAACATAGTGTCTGCTATGTGTCTTTTCTTCCCCAGAACCGCAAAGATTAGGTAACTTAGATGACGCGGCCTGTGTGAAATTCAGACTCGGAAAATTTGGACTACAGAAACCGGTAGACCTATCGAGGAAAGAGTGGGAGTTATATGCACAACCTTTTAAGAATGTTATTTACATTGCAACCTTTAATGTCGTATTCTGTAGTCATTTGAACAGCGGTTTGACTGAGAAAATAATAATAAGGTTCAAGTGGGGCTGGCTTTTAGCTAATATTCGGTTTAGTTTTTGTTGGTTTTGGTGGGCAGTTTATGACTGTTGATTTTTTTTTTTTTTTAAATAAAAATAAAAATAGAAACATGTTAAGATTTTTGGTACGCAGTAAAAAATAATAATAATAATAATAATAAAATGAAGTGGGTTTTTCATAGCTGTTGATTCTTTGTCTCCATAATAGGGCTTATCATGTTCCTTAGCAAGTAGGGAGTGTGACCCATGTGATCTATATGATGCACCAAAGATAGGGACTTTTATACATTTATGCAGGGTTTTTAATTTGCTGGTAAGGCAGGTTGCTTCCATTTAATTTTCACCCCAACAATTTTAATTTGGAGAAATAATTAGTACTCTCTCCTTTCGTTCTAAAAAAATATAATTTATATTTCCATTTTAATTCTAGTTTCCGACATTCATAAAATTGATTGTTTAAATGTAAAAGCAAATAATTTTATTAGAAAAATGGTAACTGGGAATATTAAATATGAATGCTTTTCTTGTTGCTAATGTCAGAAATTTAATTTTGGATTACAGTTATAGAGTGGACATATCTCACTGGAGAATGCCAAATCCATAATGATCTAGTCTAGACAGAGCTTTTGAGATGGGTTGGTTCTATCTTCCTTGTTGTCATTATATGGATTATTTGACTATGTCTGGATTTCTTATATAGCCAAAAATGTGCATGTGCTTGGTCTAGGCTATTGGGTAAGCCATCTTTATAATAAAACAAGCTACCAACTCCCACTATATTAGCTTTTGACCAACTCTGCCTATCCTTTAATCAAATTTCAATTATAAAGTTTTTTTTTTTTTTACGGTGCAGCAAAATCAACCAAACCCATAAATTACAAATGAAAGAGACATAATTAGATTGAGGGTCACTACTCCTAGGTTATGCTTCAAATGAAGTGTCAAATTGAGAAAGAGAGAGGAGCAGGTAATGCCTAAAATATTTTCTAAATTATTGTTGCTTGTAAGTAAAATGTTGCATTTCTTCCCCACAACCGCAAAGATTAGTGAACTACCAAATTCAAAATTTTGACTAAAGAAACCCCGAGGAAAAGTGGATATAGCCAAACCTTAAGATGTTATTATTCAACTTTATGTACTTGTCATATGTGACAGGTTTGAAGAAATAATAATAAGTCAATCTGCTTTTAGCTAATATTGGTTTAGTTTTGTTGTTTTGGCAGTTTCTGTTATTTTCATCCAAAAATAATTTCAGGTCAAATAAATCTATTAATGCCATTATTTTTTCATTAATCGCCACTTGCTGGTCTCGAAAATTAAAAAAAAAAAAAACTATTAAGCAATAGATTGTGTATGATAAAATTATTAGTTATTTGTAAGTAAATAAGAAATTTTATATGAGTACATAATTTACTCGCTTTGACACTTGCAGTTAAAATATATATATTTTTTTTAAAAAAAATCCGAAATCAAGCAAAGTTAAATAACCAATTTATTGAATTGGTTTGTAGATGGGGACCATTTGATAATTAAATAAATAAAAATATCTCTCTGCGGTTAGGGGCGTCCGATTACAAATATTGAAAATGGGAGCACATAGACAGTACTTTGAAAATCGTCAGTCACCATTTTCAACTTCAAGTTTCAAACGCAGACCTCAACAATCCCCCTCCCTTTTCTTTTGAAAATAAATAAATAAATAGAACATCAAACTTCACTTCCATTTTCATTTCACTCTCACTCTTCATCTACTTCTGCAATCACTTTTCCCTTATTCCTCCATTCCTTTTTCTTTCTTCCTTCTCTTTCTGTTTAATCTGGTCCTCTGTCACTCTCCATTATCAATTGCACAGGCACGCCCCTCGTAGTATGTCCCCCACGCGTATCCGCCAAGTCTCTACGACTCTCTGTCGCTTCATCTCATAGCCTTTTTCTTGTTTATAAAAAAAAACCCAGTTGCTGTTTTCTATATTAGCTGCTTAGAATGGATGTAACTAGTGGGCCTGTCTTCTTCTTTTAAATTGGCGGTAGAATTTCAAAAGGAAAGCCTTTCAGATCCTGGAGCAATTCTTGAGCAATACAGAGCAGAAATGGTGGCTGAAGCTTGGATTTTGAAGATGGGAAACCAGGTAAGTAGCAATCTCAAACACGCACTCCTTGTCGAACCTTACAAGAAGAAGAACACAAAAAGACTAGAAACCAAAGAGAGAGAGATTATTGGCATCCTTTCTTTTGAGGTTGCTAATGTTATGTCCAAAACTGTGCATCTCCATAAATCCCTCTCTGATTGTGAGGTCTCCAAGCTTAAAGCTGAGATCTTGAAATCTGAGGGAGTTAATAAATTGGTTTCCTCCGATGAAAATTACCTTCTCCAGCTTGCTCTGGCTGAGAAGCTTGATGACCTGAGCCGGGTAGCTAGTGTTGTTTCTAGGCTGGGCAAGAAGTGTATTGAGCCTGCTTTACAGGGTTTTGAGCATGTTTATGGGGATATAGTTAGTGGGGTTATTGATGTGAAGCAATTGGGATTTTTAGTTAAGGATATGGAAGGGATGGTTAGGAAAATGGAGAGGTATGTTAATGCAACCTCTAACTTGTATGCTGAAATGGAGGTCTTAAATGAATTGGAGCAAGCTACCAAGAAGTTTCAGCAGAATCAGCACGAGGAGAGTCGCAGAGCGTTTGAACAGAAACTCATTTGGCAAAAGCAGGATGTAAGGCATCTTCAGGACATCTCACTTTGGAACCAGACTTATGATAAGGTTGTTGAGTTGTTAGTTAGAACAGTGTGCACCATTTATGCTAGAATTTGTGTGGTATTTGGGGATTCTGTGTTGAGGATGGAGAGTTTTGGGGCTATTGGAGGGACCGATTCTTCCCCTCCTGTGAAAGATGAATGCAGGGAGGTTTCAGGTCAGATATTGATTCCAGGGCCACTAAAACGTGCCGTTAGCAGGAAAAGCTGTAATGGGAGTCAATCAGGACCTGTTAAGAGGCCCGTGGCGGTGAAAAGGCAGACAAGTGTTAAGGCCCAGCTTGATTCACAGAGAAAAGAAGAAGCAATATTTCAAACTGAAGAAATTATTTTTCCATGTGGAGCTAGTCCTGGCAGGCTATTCATGGATTGTCTTAGTTTGAGTAGTTCAGCTTCTAAATTGGATAGTGATGAAAATGATGCTATTGATAATGAAGACCGGGGTAGCCAAATTTCTGGTTGTTGTGTTGGTAATTTTTCTGGTTATTCTAATCGGATCCCGGGTATTGTCTCTTATGGTGGAGAACAGAGACAAGCTAGGTCTGGTTTGATGAATTCCTGGTTCAGCCCCAAAAGTAGGTTAACAGTGCATGCTCCACCTTCCACTGTGGGAGGTTCTGCTCTTGCCTTGCGTTATGCAAATGTGATCATAGTTATAGAGAAGCTGCTTCGCTATCCCCATTTAGTTGGTGAGGAGGCCAGGGATGATTTGTATCAGATGTTACCGATGAGCTTAAGAATGTCTCTGAGGACTAATCTCAAGTCTTATGTCAAGAATCTGGCTATATATGATGCTCCGCTTGCTCATGATTGGAAAGAAACTCTTGATGGTATTTTAAGTTGGCTTGGTCCATTGGCACATAACATGATCAGTTGGCAAAGTGAGCGTAATTTTGAGCAGCATCAAATTGTTAAGCGGACAAATGTGCTGCTGCTTCAGACATTGTATTTTGCTGACAGGGAAAAGACGGAAGCAGCTATTTGTGAACTTCTTGTTGGGTTGAATTACATATGTAGATATGAACATCAGCAAAATGCTTTATTGGACTGTGCAAGTAGCTTTGATTTTGAAGACTGCATGCAATGGCAATTTCAGTGTAGAGATGCTTTTGTTGATTAATCTCGTTACTGGATATCGATACTTGAAGAAGTTTGTAAAGCATTGTCGTTGACTCCTGACAGTTATGTGAAGACACAGATGATAGTTCAACAGGACGAATATCTTAGCTTTGCACACACTGATGACTTGTATTATTGAAGACCTGAGTTGATTAATATACTTTTCTGCCAGGTATTGGAAAAGTTTTGACATTTGAAGTACATAAATTTAATTATTTATGAAAAGGGGCATCTTTTCTGTACAATTTTCATATGTTGTGTACAATTTTCAGTTTTTGCTTACAGAAGGTCCAATGACATTCTTTTAGCGCAAGTACTTGTTTGGCTTAGAGAGTCAGGTCATCAGTATTGTTAGTGCTTATGCATAGTTTCTATTTGTTCTAATCTTGAATTAATGCAAGGTGAAATATTGATTATCACTTGGTTCTGCTTAAGAAATTTACGTTAGTAAAATCTAAAAAGTCCTGTTAACTTGCTGAAAGAAAAACAACCTTGATAGCCAGAAACAGAGACACATGTGCTCATTTGGTTATGCCTTTAATGCAACCTGTTTTAAATTACTTGGGCCACTTCCTCCCAAATCCTCTGCAGTTGAATGAACATTTTGTAATATAAACATATGAGATGTTTAAGGTTCATTTCACCTCAGGAGAGCATATGCAAAAGAGTGCCATCATTTAGATTTGTGCACTTGAAGTTCATTTCTTTATCAATATCGCTTGACTGATAGATGCATGCCCCTTAGCCAGTATTATGCTTTCTTCTTCAGTTTACCTCTTTCTACATGTAGCTGCTAGTTGGTAAGAATAGGTATTTATGTGCAATACTGTAATATAATGCCACACTCTACGTACGAATAAGATATCAATGTGAATGTTGTCCAATACAGGCTGTGTTTAGAACATGACTTCTTGCCGGCTGTTATGAATTGGTGGCTCAGGATTTGCACGGTTTATGTGCCATGCCTGATACTACTTCGTTATTTGAGCTATAAATGATTGTAAGTATTTTTAGGGCCTACTCAGGGATGGATACTTGGATAAAATACCTTGTACATGGCAGATGATCTGCGGAGAAAACCAGAGTTGTTTTGGTCTGTCCTAATTCTTAGTTGCTTTCTTGAAACAGTTCTTTTAGATCTTGAGACAACTATATTTCTCAAGTTGACATTAGATGTGGTGCAGTTGGAACCAGAGGCATGAATTGAGAAGAGAGGCGCAATTGGATGTCTAAGATGCCTTATGGAGACAATGGAAAGCAGACTAAGCGGAACAGTTTTTCCTCTGCTCTTGACTTTTAAAGTCTAAAGTAAATTGTCTGCTGTAAGATTTTCATCCAGTCCAGACTTCCAGTAATCCACTGTCTACTAGTAGCATAAGAGTCTGCTTTCAAACTCCTATTGCCGGTTGGATTCAGTTCTCCTTGGATGTACCGTATATTCATTGCTTTTTCAGTGCCATTGAAGAGCCCAACAAAAAAAAAAAAAAAAAAAAAAAAAAAAAAATGCACTGACTCTGCGGAGAAAAGCGCAGGAGTTGGTTTTTAGGTCTGTCCTAATTTTGTTGCACTTTTTTGAACGTATTTAGTGAGTCTGAGACATACTTATTTACTTTCAAGTTGATTCAGACTTGTCGGTGCAGTTGGGAACAAGAGGGCATGAATTGACACACGAGGCGCAATTTTGGGACTGTTCTAGTAGATGCACACTTTATGGAGACAGGATGAGCAAGCAACGGTAAAGCCGGACAGGTTTTTGTTCCTCTCGTCTTGACTTTGGATTAGTCCTAGGAAGTAAGGATTGGGTCTGCGTGTAGAGATTTTCATTCCAGGTCGCAGGACTTCCAGTAGATCGCCTGTCTAGCTAGTAGCCGAGAAGAGTCTTTGCATTTACAAACTCCTATGGTGCCGCCGGTTGGATTCGAGTGTCGTCCTTTGGACTGTACGCGTATATCATGATGCGTTTTTCAGTGCGATTGAGAAGCCCAAACCAAAGAAAAAAAAGAAAAAAAAAAAAGAAGAAAGAGCTTTTTCAGTCGTTTATCCGCATTGGGTAAATCCTTGAGGAAATCTCTAAACTTTTATATGCTGTGAAGTTGGGGAAGGTACTAAGTAAAAAAAAAAAAAAAAGAAAAAAAAAAAAGAAAAGAGTTTTCAGCATTTCCCATTGAAAATCCTGGGAAACTCTAACTTTTATTGCTGTGAATTGGGGAAGGTACTAGTACCACAATGTCAAACGCTGGAAGCAGGTGCCAGAGACATGTGGCATTAAAGAGGTTATAGTTTGTAGAAGAGAGCATTGAGTATGATAATAAAAGAGGACTCCTTTCTGGGTGTAGTTGGATATTTATAAATACTCACTCCTACATGTATCTACTTGACCTCATCTGTAGTTTTCTGCACATATAAGTGTAGTAAAGAATGACGTCAAGAATCTCCACTTCGATTCTCCATTGGAAGTCAATCCAATCATAAATAGGCTCACATGATGAAGCTAGTTTGTAAGTGAGTTAATTTTTGTGGTTAAAGAAAACAGCGGCAGCTATCTTCCCCATAAATGGTTTGGTCGAATCAGTTATTGAAAACTTGAAAGCATTTAAATGGATTTAGCAATGGTCAGTTGTCAGAAGTTTCCAACTTTCTTGAATTAAGCAATAAAGGAAGCTGTTATTAGGCAAGAAAATATGAACATCTGTGTTCACTTTCACTCGTTTGGTTTCTGGGATGAAGTAGAGCAACTTATAATGGAGTAGCTAACTTTTCTTTTTCATAAAAAATGTATTTCATATATTTTAAAAACATTATTACATATAATATATATTATTACTTATTTAAAATATAGAAACTAAAACTTGAAAAATATTAAATTGCTATTCCATGAAATTATTATATATAATATATTTACACTAGTTTTCAAATTTAGTGTGAGCTTTCTTTAAAGCTAGCGGCTGTTATTGTTGATGATCAGAGTTTAATTAATGTAAAATTCTCATTTTCCTCAACAAAAAAAAAAAAGTACTAATTAAAAATAAAATTAATTAATGAAAACGAATACTCAATAACAGTTGATGGATAATGAGACATATTTCTTGTAACTTCGATGATGACGAACTATCTATATTATTTATGATATAAAGCTGGTAAAGAACTCAACTCACTACTAATATTCAAAGTTGAAACCAGCCTCCAAGCCATCATTCTGACCCTCAATGAACTGGTTAATAATTCTTGTCTCACCTGAAGCATTATGAGAAGCCATTTCGTCGATCTTTGTCAGCACATTCTTCTTCAACTCTTCTAATGACTCCTTATAACCTTCAAGCTCTTCTTTTTCCTTATTATGAATGGGTAGATTCCACCAAAATTCACCATTATTCTTCCTGTCAGTTTCGTTTCTTATAACATCCACAGCTTTTTTCATCTCCGCCAACCGGTTAAGAGATTTCTTGTACTCTTGCTCTTGCTCAGTTTCCGTCGCAGAACTGCTGCTGCTGCTTTCCAATAAGTTACAGTTATTGTCTATCTCCTCTATTTCAGCAATATATCGATCAAGAACCTCGTCTACATCTGGATTGCCGAAAGAAAACACTTTCCCATGTTCGGAGAAGAGAATCACAGCGACATCAGCACCGCATAAGGTTGAAAGTTCGGTGGCTTTTCTAAAAATACCGTTTTTTCGTTTCGAAAACGTAACATAACGACTGTTTATTTTCTCCACTTTCATGATCTCAATCTTTTGTCGGCCTTTGCTTGTCTTGCGCTGCTGGTTAGTTGTTATGTCCATGGCTTGTTGCTGTCGGTTTGTTGTTATGTCCACATGGCGGTTCAAGGATTATGCAAGAAGAGGAAAATTGTTATGGTTTAGGGTTTTAACTTCAAGTGATTGTATTTATAGAAAGGTTTTGGCATGGTTTGAGTCCTTAGATGTTGAAGATCCAACGGTTGTGTTTGTATTTTTCAATTTCCTTTTTAGGTGTTAGATTCCAGAAAAATCATGTCCCTCAAGTCACCGGAAATCAACTCCCTAATGAAGGAGGAATATATGCTCCGATTGTCGGTAATGTTCCAACTGACAATTACTACTTAATTTCTCACTTAAGGAAACTAAATATAATCATGAACTTTAGATATGTGATTAGTTACTGATATAAATACTGCTACTATTTAGGTTACATAACGAGTGGACTCGATCAAAGCCACGTGAATATTGCGAGGGAAAATCAAGCGTCACATCTTAATCTCTCTCTCTCGCCAAAGCTGGTCGCGGCGAATAGAGCTGGAAGAAAGAACAAAGAAGAGAGGCAACGATAAGTTGTCATCGTCATCGGAGACTACAACTTTTGAGAGCAGTAACAGGGATAGGAAGAAATCAAGAAACTTTTGAATTTGTTCGTTTAAATGGAAAAAAATGAAACAGACGGGGAAATTATTTTGTACTATGAGTGATCACCTTTGCGGTGTAACCTTTTTCTTTTCCAATGTAAATATGAAGCCGGAATTATAGTTCGGCGAGCGATTTTCCGGTGAAGGCAGATAGATAATATGAGATGATATGATATATTTCTCATTTCCTAAGTAACATATTGGGCCTTACTGGGTTGTGACCTTTGCAAGGCCAACTTTCTTTAACCTAGCTGTATGTTACACTGGGCCCAAACAATATTCAGAAAAGCGCAGTCACATTCGCGCTCCTATACTTTCCCATTAGCCAAACATCCTCCTCGAGAATTCTTCAGTAGAAGCGGAAACAAATATCAGTTAGTGTCCCAGAGGAATGAATTACAGAAGGTAAGTTAAAGAGAGTCACGTATTGCTTTCAACTTTGCCGATTATCTTTTCCTTCTTTGGTGATATATGATCTGTATCAATTTCTGTTTACTAGATCTAATTCATGGTTTACCATCTAATTTGCATTGGAATTCATTATTTATTAAGCAGTTGCATCTTAGAATAATTTTTTGTTTTTCTTTTCTTTTTTGAGTTTCATATGCTTAACTGAAGCTCAGAATAGGCTCATTATCATTCTTGGGCTTTATTCCTTTCTGGGTAGATCCGACGGGTGCTGACTTCATGATAAATATTAATACACTTTTTAATTCAAAAGCATATTGCGTATTTTTTTTTGAATTTTGATACTTAGAAAGGCTTCACCTTTCCTCCTCTCTTGAAATCTATTTGAGAGTGTTTAGATTAGACTTCGTTATATATATTTTATTAAGCAGTGCCATCTTTAGGAATAATTTGTTTTGTTTTTTCTGTTTTCTTTTTTTGAGGTTTCATATGCTTACTGAAGCTCAGAAATGAAGGCCTTCAATCTAAATCATATCTTGGGGGCCTTTATTCCTTTCTGGTAGAATTATCTCGAACGGGTGTGCTTGACTTCATGATAAAGGTATTCAATACCATCCTTTTTAAATCAAAAGGATATTGCGTATTTTTTTTTTGAAAATTTTGGGATACTAATCAAGATGAGGGGCTTCAGCCGTTGTTCTCTCGCTCTTCCTTTTGAAATCTTAATGTTGGAAGAGTTGTTTAGATTAGACCTTCCGTTTATACATATATTACTAATATAATAAAGTGATACTAGTAGTGTTAAGGGTATATATGGATTTGTATATATATATGGTTTGTTTAATTCATTTTTCAAAATCATGGTAGGGATATTCGAAATTCACGATCATCTCTATTTGATGATGGCCTTGAGGAAGGTGCACTTAGGGCCTCTTCTTCATATTCACATAATATTAACGAGCATGACAATGACAAAGCAATTGACAGTTTGAAAGACAGAGTTATTTTCCTGAAGAGAGTAAGTTTCGAAGCCTTCCAATTAAATTAACATTTAATTTTTAATTGTTGCATTAAATATTTGTTTAACCCTCAATCTAGGGTTACTATCCATGAAATATATGCAAATGAATATATGCTTTGAGTTATGAATGATATTTACAGTACTTTTCCGGATGTATTTAGTTTGTGGTTTCCATTGCATACTTGAGTACTGTGGACCCTAGATATGTTATACAGTATAGCAATCATTTATAGAGCAAAAATGAGCAATTGCCAATTGCATCTTCACACGTTTACTGGTAGTGGGTTTGTGTATGAATGGTGTTCCTGGTCGTGATATATATTGTTATAAACTCGCACAATGAGAGGTAGCATCCCAATATACCTCACTGTCATTGGAATTGTACACGAAGCAGGGGCATCCAATTTATATGGAAGTCCCGATTCTGACCATTTAACTGTCCCTGACCATTTGGAATCCACAAACCTGTATGTTGTGTTGCCTGTTGAATAGAAGTGGCTCTTTCCCTGCGCTGTATTTGAAAAGTCTATGGTTAATAGAATTAGTGAAAACTGCTGTCTATGTGCTACTGCTGTATTATGACCTGGTGAATTTTCATGGTGCTCAGGCACCAAATTGTCGAGATAATGTTCTTTGACACATGGACCAACCAGAAGCAGATTTTGTTTGTGCCATGCCCCCTTTCTCCTTCTAATTCTAAAACTCGTACTCCAACCAATGAGTTTTTTGAAGTTGTTTCTAAACCTCATTCTGTGGGTATTCTGTGTATGTACATGTGCTTTCTCTCATGCATTCTTAGTTGCATTTGCAAAATACCATATTTTATGTTGCTACTGCCTCCGACGTTTAATTGTTTTCCCCTCCGTTTACTACACATGTTTTGCTGATTCTAAATAAATAATATTCATGGTGACCTGAATTCTTTGTTCCATATATTTCAATATTCAATTTGAATTAACTCTTGAAATGTATAATCCTTATGCACAGGTAACAGGTGATATACATGAGGAAGTAGAGAGTCATAATCGCTTGCTTGATCGGTTGGTATGCAGCTTGTATTCTTTTATTCTGACATCTGCAACTTTTGTGAAACAAAAATTTTTGGTTCTTCTTTTTCAATAGATTGTATTGTAAAATCAGGGCAACAACATGGACATATCTAGAGGTGTAATGTCAGGAACAATGGATCGATTTAAGAAGGTAAAGACTATATCTACTCCTTTCCATTTCACCTTCATGTTTGTCTCTATTTTATTCCCATAGCTGCTTTGAAAAGCTTGGTAACGTCAAGTTCTTGTCATTGTAGGTATTTGAGAAGAAATCAAGCCGGAGAACATGCATTCTTGCAGGATTTTTCGTTCTCTCCTTTTTAGTTATATATTATCTCATTAGGTATATAGCCTCCTAATGATTGTCTGAGAAGAGGGATAAAACTCTCTTGGCGTCAATTTTTATCAAATTGTACCTCCACTTAAATGATAATAATAGCAAGAAAATTTCAATGTTGTAAAAAATCAAAATTCAAAAGCAAAGAAACTCTCTTGGCGTCAATTTTTATCAAATTGTACCTCCACTTAAATGATAATAATAGCAAGAAAATTTCAATGTTGTAAAAAATCAAAATTCAAAAGCAAAGGAGTGAAGTTTCAAATGAACTTTAAATTAACATTGTAGCATATTTTTCGTGTAGGAAACCGCCAATGGAAAATAGGAAATTGGACTTGCTTTAGTTATGAACGACTTAGATAGATCATTGATGTTGATTTTGCAGGATCCTCAGATATGTGCAAGCTTAAAGTGGACTTATGAGAACATTTTCCCCTCAAGTCTTGAATTGGGTGATGGAAGTTGCACCACATATGGCACGCTGCAGTGTGTACTTGCATCTTGATCCTGGTGCTGAGAAATGTACTGTGTGTGAAGGTGCAACATATGCTTACATTGCCAAACTTTAATGAGTAAACATTGTTGGTAGTAGGCAATTGTAGATTTACTGAAAGGCGCTATTGGCCTCTCACCTGTTCTTTTTCTCTTTTTATTTACTCCTGTGGGAGGACATGCTCAACAAAAGCAGAGCATTTTTTTTAGTAAATGATCAAATCATAGATTAAAATTCATTTTTAGGCAGAATTCTGTTGAACTACAAGCGATGAAAATGGCAAGTGCAAGTCCAAAAAAAAATTATATGACAGGTTTTCAGAAAGTGAAACGCACGGTGGGGTGCTGCATAAGCAAAATGACTCTTATCGATCGTTGTCATCAAGCCAACATCGGGGTTTAGTGGTTTCCATAGTGGCTATGCCTATGGATTGCTAAATGCTAATTAATTAGGAGGGCCTACTTCATTAATAAAAGCATCTAACCTAATCAAATCATAGAAGACCAAGCCAATAAAGAAGAATATAGCTACTCATTTAGCTTCAGATTAGCCAGAATCAACAACGAAACTTAGCTGGGGAATAATCATATGTATAGGTCCATATGAATTGAAGTTTACCATACGGTAGAAAAATATATTACTAATTGCTGTAAACAGAAAATATATATATATATATATGTATACATATAATATATAGATATAAGTTATATATATATATATAATATATATAGATATATACATTTAGGATTAAATTATTCCCCATATATACATTTAGGATAAATTATTTCCCCATCGAACTCAAGTAAATCTTCAGTTAAACTCCCATCTTAATTTCCATTTGTGAACTGTAATAGAATTTCTTGATTTATTGAATTACTAATTTTATATTTAAAATTAATTTTGAGTTGTTTGGTCAACTATAGTACTTTGGGTTTTTAATAAAAATATTAATTAAGATTCGATGTCATCATATTTATATTTTTTTAAAAAGAAACTCATGTACAATTTAATATTAAATATTTAGTATATTTCTCGATTTAAAATTTTACTGTAGTTCGAGGTTCTATCTCATAATAAATTGATTAAAAATTAATCGCTGCACCCATATGGATTCTATTGCTTCTGGCATTTCAACTAAACCAACTTGCTACTGCATCTAAATGTCTACGTTACCACTATCTCATGTATATCTTGGCGGCAGTCTCACCGGCAAACTACAGTGAGTTAGTTATACATAAAATAACTACATCGGTGTCCAAAAGTTCACTGAACTCCAACTATTTCCAGTTGACTTGCAATCTATGTTTATATGTAGCACAATAAAAAATTGAATGCTCTGTTGATAAATAAAATGATGAAAAGAATTTACTAATAATTGATTTTGTTTTGGTAGAATTAGTAAAAGGGTCCTTCTAAATAGCAAAATCTCTTTCTTTCTTTTATATGTTGAACATCAAATACAATCAAAAACCAAGAAAAATACTTGGATAATTATGAACTCAGAAGAGAGTTTGAAGAGGAAATGACTTGTCCCTTACCCAAAACGAATAATGAAATTATACAAGAACTAGCTACAAACTCTAATGAAAAGAAAGGTATGGAAATACTACTAGTAATTAAAATGTCCATAATCAAAATGACAAATGGTCTTTCTCTGTCTTTATATATATATATATTTTGAAAATGAAAAATGAAGATGTTGAGTTGGGGCAAGAGAAAACGACGTGCTCCCCACCTGCCCACGCGCACGAGACCCCACGAAACCCTAATTTCAATGACCTCTAAAAGAAGAGCTTCTGTTGTTATACTTATATATGGTCAAGTACCCTAAAAATTACCCAAAAAAAAAAAAAAAAAAAAAAAACAACACATACACAAAACCAGAGCCAATGTTTTTCAACGAAGAGAAAGTTTGAAAATTTTCTACGCATTTGATCCATTATTAATTGTTGTGTGGAGAGAGAGAGATATATAGAGAGAGAGAAAGAGCCAGAGGGTTTCTTTCTTTCTCCTTTTTATACTGTAATGAACTTTTCATCTCTCTCGCTGCTTTAGTTTTTATTCTCTCTCTTTCTCAGCTTAATAATTGATTCTATTATGGTATTGCATCTGTTCTTTGTTCTTTCTACTCCAGATTGATTACTTGTGAGTCGTTGATCTTGTTTTGATTAATCTTGAACCTTGATCATCATCATCACCACCTGTATGAAATCAGAAATCCCTCTTTTCTTTTTCTCGATTCCATTATACTAAATTAATTGCATCTAATTCTCTCTCGTCTTCCTTTGTCTTTCTTTCTTTCTCTCTTTCTCGTATCAAAATCTGTAAAAGAAAGAGTGAGAGCTGAGCTACCATAGTATAGTCTACACTGTAACCCTATTTGGGCCAGCAGACTATTCTTCTCTTTGACTTTCTGATCTAAAAGAAACCTACAAGAAAAGGAAAAGAAATCAAGAAATTCAACCGCTACAATATCCTTTCTTGTCCAGAGTTCTCTGTTTGTTGTTTTCAATTTGCAACGCTGGCTAATCCGTGGTGGACGGGTCAAGTTGGCCTTCCAGGCCTAGACCCATCTTCGAATTCTTCTTCGCTCAACAAAGCCAACCTCGAAATCTCCATTAATGAAACCAGTAATAGAAACGGTGACGATGACGATAGAGACACTGGCGATGAGCCTAGAGAAGGTGCGGTTGAGGTTGGTAACCGAAGACCTAGAGGTCGTCCTCCTGGATCCAAAAACAAACCCAAACCTCCAATTTTCGTAACCCGAGACAGCCCTAATGCTCTCCGAAGCCACGTAATGGAAGTTGTTGGCGGAGCTGATGTAGCTGAAAGTGTAGCTCAGTTTGCCCGGCGCCGTCAACGCGGCGTTTGTGTGCTTAGCGGTAGTGGCTCAGTAGCTAACGTAACCCTAAGACAGCCTGCAGCACCCGGTGCTGTAGTCGCTCTTCATGGTAGGTTTGAGATTTTGTCCTTAACTGGAGCCTTTTTGCCTGGCCCTGCTCCACCTGGCTCCACCGGACTGACGGTGTACTTAGCTGGGGGACAGGGACAGGTCGTCGGAGGAAGTGTGGTGGGCTCACTCATTGCAGCCGGTCCTGTTATGGTAATTGCAGCAACATTTGCTAATGCTACTTATGAAAGATTACCATTAGAGGATGATGAAGAAGCTGCCGGCAGCGGTGGACAAGGACAGATCCAAGGTGGGGCTAATAATTCACCACCTCCTATTGGAAATAGTGGTCAGCAGAGTGGGTTGCCGGATCCGTCTGCGCTGCCGGTTTATAATTTACCGCCGAATTTAATGCCTAATGGAGCTCAATTAGGGCATGATGCCTTTGCTTGGGCTCATACTCGACCGCCTTACTAATAGACGAAGCTATAGCTAGATAGAGAGGAAGAGAGGAGATTTTCTTGAGCCTACTTCTATTGTGCTGTACTCAAAGGTAGGGATTGTTGAGGATTAAAATTGAAAAAGAAAATAGTAGAAGAAGATAGAGATGTTGAAAGAAGAGAAATCATGGTTGTGAATGTATATTAATTACTTCAACTTGGTTTTTACTTTTTTTTTTTTTTGTTTTTTTTTTTTCCCTCTTTCTGTTTGCAATAAAAGGATGATTTCTGCTTTCTCAATTGTGTCCCAACTTCTAGTTTATTTTAATTTACTTTGAATTCTTAAATTTATTTTAGTATAATTTGACATATATTTATATTTATTATGTTGATGCTCTGGTTGTTATATAGTTTATCTGATATGATAGATTAGACTTGCAAGATTTAGTCGGTGCAGAAGACAGATCTCATAGAAGTTTTGAATTCTTCAAAATTGTTCGCCAAAATCTTTGTTTTAAGGTTTAACATTGTATCTCCTTTTATTTCAAGACCTAAATAACGGGCTTTCAATTTTCCATCAAGATTTCAATTTATAATTTGATGACCTAGTTGATTAATTTGAGATATCAAAAACTCTACAGGAGTGTCTTCTTTATTACTTCTTGATGCGAGCATAGTAACTTACTGTGGACTCTGTATTTAGTTTTCTGTATTTAGTTTTCTTTTAAATGTACTCTCCTTTCGTATAAAAAAAAAAAGAAAGTGAAAAAGACGGTTAGTATTGAATAGCTGACACGGCATATCATTAAAAAATTATTGACCGACAGGTAGATAGACCAAGTTATTTGTTTCACGAAAAATTAAGAGCGGCGAAGAGACGTTTCTTAAATTTCATATTAAATTTTTCTCCGTTTCTCTATATATTAAACAAAAGATACATTTGTTGAATTAAAATAGTATTCTATTTTTATATTATACTTTTTAAAAATGTTTAGTAAAGTATGTTATGCCTTTGATCTTTATTCTTTCATATAGAAAATAGCAGGAATTCGTTTTTGGTTCTGACAGTTTATAATGGACACTCAATTTAAATATAGAACCTCGCTGCTAGAGACACAAACATGTTATATATAGTAGAATATTGGAGAAACATTATAAAAGAAAAACAAAAACATTGAAGATTTCTTCAACCAAATTAAGGAACTTGTATGATTGCAAATGGCAAAATCCTGTCAAAACATATAGAATACACATATATAGTATGAGAAATATACATATTGAAAAATATATGATATAAATCACAAAATTAAAGAATAAATAAGAGAAAATATGAGTGAGTGAGTGTGTTAGGGCATTCCTATTAGCCCCCACATGTATGGTTAAGGGAAAGCAGGCTCCTTGAGTTGCAGCATGGCTCTCTTCTCCCTGTCAATCCTCCAACCCACGTGTAATCGTGGTAGCCTCTCCATGAAAGAGATCTGTCCCATAAAGACTTGTAGTAGAAACTTTCTTTTTTCTTCTTGATGACAAATTAATTTAGTGGCAGAATGGGAGAATACTCTGTCCATAACGCAGGAGAATGATTTTCTAGGCATAAGTGACTCTTTCTTCGAGATTTTTTATTTTCCTTTTCCTCTTGTCCTTGGAAATGAACACTATGTGCATGCTCTCCAACGTCAAAAATAAATTAATAATCAAATAATTTAAGTATTCTATACATACAACTTCTATATACCATCAAGTACAAGACGTATGTGCCTATATGGTATCAATCATTAATATTTTTAATTTATTCTAGAAGTTGCTAAATGTTTTTTTTTTTTTTTCCGTTTCTCCTTCCTTTTGTTTTTCTGAGTTTAATCTTTAATGTCGATTATATATATATGGTCTTTTCTTTTCTTTTTTGGTTATTTGTTACATGAGAAAATTTTGAGTCTCAAATATTTATTTTCATATTTTATTTCATTTCTAATCAAAGTGAAATAAGCATGTTTTGATAATTCTAATGTATATTAAACATCAACGATTTCAATAAGAAATCACAAAAATTATATCACTTGAGCAAAATAATTAAAATAAAAGAATTAAATCTTTTCCCTTGCTTGATACGAAGAAATTTCTTAGAAGCTCCTGATTTATTTATATAATATCAGTACTAATTAGTCCAAGGTCAACATAGATTATTTATTAGACATTTCAAAGGCTTATTCATTATAGTTTAATCGCAATGACTGACCGAAGTGAAATTATATTGTGCATTACTCAAGTACTAAAATCATATTACTAATTAATCAGAACTAAAAATAACAAGAACTGAAAGTGATATATATATTTATTAATTAATCATGCTAAAATAAGAAGATTAGACTAATATATATAATGTAGAAAATATTTATTTGATGTTTTGTTTGAGCTATGGCTTTGACTATTATGAAAGTTCCAATTTTTAGAAGGTATATTGCAATTTTTCCTGTTTATGGTTGGACAAGTAATTAGATATTGTTATATGTATGGTCCAAACAACAGAATATATCTTTTATTACCAAATACTAACACTTTTTTTTTTTTTTTTTTTTTTTAACTCTTTTCATCACCTCCAAGAGATGCAATTCAAGAAAGGACCTCAACTTTCTTTGCCCCAATTACGTGTCAATGTAAATTATTTTGTCTCTGTATTATTTTCTAGTCCTATTATTTTGTCTGCTTCACAAATTGACTTCAATATATAACAATCTGACTACAAAGAAAATAGTGAGAAAAAATGAAAAATAAAAAATAAAAGCAATTTTGAACTCACTGAGAGATAGTATTGATGATTTGTTACAGTGGGTAAAATTTTATTTTCCATAAAATGGATTGGTTTTGTTTGTTAAAAGGGTAATCATTCCATCAATCATCAATCAACTGGTTGTTAAAATAATTAATTAACAAAATCATGATCTTCAATTGTTCATGTATGTAAAAGAATTGTTTTTTTCATTTTCTAAAAGAAACTATGAGTATTTTGCACATGGATAAGAAAGTGATTCGAGAAATCTTTATTACACTTCAATAATTTAATTAGATCAACATAGATAAAATATGTTAATTAGTCATTCCAATTAACCAATAACAAACTGACATCATTAAAGAAATATCAATTGAGAAAACAAGAAGAACTTTTGCATTAATTGTATCAAAGTAAGTAATTAGTCAATTAATTAAATTAAGCTAACATAAAGCAACATAGAGGACCCCCTTCACATGGATTCACGTGTCATGGTTAAAAAATTTTTTCATTTAAAATTATTATTATTATCTCAACTTGTATGCAACATGCCAAGGCTAAAGTTAAAACATTGATGGACTTCCTTAATCCTCCTTTGTTCAATAATTATTGTTACTCTAATTAAAATAATCCTTATCTAATAAGACCAATAAAAACAAATATATTCTCTCTTTTGTTCCAAATGACTTTTCAAGTGCCACCATTCCACTTGTATATGCAATTCCAGACTTAGCTATCATTGAGACAGTGAAGCTACACATCAAACAATAGTTTGAAAGGGAATCCACTAACCCTTCATTAATAAAATGTAGACCAACCATTAAACCAATAATTTTTTTGTTTATTAAAAGTGATTAGATTAGGGTTTTACCAATAAAAACTTCTGTGGTGGGCCAGAAAGAGGCATCATCCAAGAGAAATTCAGCAACATGGTAGCTTTTTTTTCAAGTCCATATATGTTTTCTTGATGCTGAAATTCAATCGAATCGCATCGCTCCATGGCTCTTGTCGTGGAGTAAACGTCATTTTTTTCGATCCAATTTTAACCTAATTTTTTGAAAACCAATCAGTCTTGAGAGTGGAAAAAGGCAAATTGACAAGAAGAAGATGAATTAATCAACATCTTAATTTGCTTGCCAGGCAGCTTAATGTTATATGTCGATAATCAAACAAAACCCTAGAATGTGTTGGCTTTTTGTCAAGTTTATCTTCTTCTCCAAATCTATGTCCTGATTAAGCCATTTCATAGAGAGATATATTAAATTATATAATTTCTAATTATTATTGGGAACCAAAGTTTGTGTGACAGTGCTGCTTACAAACCGCTTCTAATGAATCCATACAAAATTATCTATATGTAGGACAATAAGTGTTGCTAGCTCATCAGATTTTAAAATCTCTGTGATGGATGAGTAACACATTATACAATTCCCTATAAGTAATATTTTAGTATCCTTATTAAAAGAAATAAATATATATATATATAAATATAATAGGTTGCAATCAATCATAATGCTCCACATCCCGAATTTTAGAATTGCTCAATTTTTTATAAAAAAATTAGAGAATTCAAACTATTTAATTTACCTTTTGATAGAATGATTAATATGTCTTTTAATTGAAATGTTCGTTATGATTGTTCTCCTTTTTATATTGCAAATACAGTATTCAGCATATTCTGCAATAGTTTATTCCATCAACTCATCAATAATTAAAATTCCTAACTGAAGATTATAGGCATGTTTCCCACAAGCCAAATGGTATAAGAAATATATATATATATATAACAATGATTTAAAAAATTTTAATTTCTGATTGGTCACTACATGGGTGTTATTGCAATATATTATCATAAAAGAACAAACAATCTTACTCAAATCTGATTATGCACCCCTCTTTTTCAGTCTAATAAGTGTTAGAACTTTGGCTTTGCTTTATCAGAACATTAGGTTTACTCATATGTAGTTGTGCTGGAATTTACATTTACCAATTAAATTGGTTCAATTATATATGAGGTTAATTAATTAATAGTCGAAATCTTTTTTGTTTTCTTTTTCTTTTTTAAATGATTAATCTCATCTTAAAGTTTATGATTGTCTCTGTTCATAAATGTGAATAATTTTTATATATATTATTCGGTGAATTCAAACATTCTTACTGCTTGAATCAATCCTTACGGATTTATTGTTTAACTCATAATACATAGTTTGCTTCCGATTAAAATAAATTCTCGTTTAAAAATATTTATTAGGCAAAACCTTTCTTCTTTTTTATGATTTGTAAAATTTGTTTATGGTAATTCAGAATTTTTTTGAAATTTTATTTTATTTTATAAAGGACAAGAAATTATTTTTCCTAGAAGACTATTGAAGTTCAGCAGTTGTACCAAAAAAAAAAAGAGGGGAAATTGGTGCGCAACAGAATTGGGCAAAAAAGGATAACAACACTGGTGGACCCAACTGGCAACTTTAACCTTTCCAAAAACGGATATGTTGACCGGTCTATTCATCAGATTCCGCCACGTGGAACATCA